ACTTCCCTGGCTCTCAGGCCTGCTAGTGCTGGCTGTGCGGACTCCACACCTTCTTACTTACCCATCCGCCCTCAGAGCAGATTCGGACTTTCTGCATGACAACCGGGCCGTCCTCCAGTTCCCGGCTCTGAATCTCTTCTTCCTCTTCCTCTTCTTTCAGGGTCAAATTGAGAGGGTAGGCTGCGGACTCCATCTCTGCAAATAAGATTCACAAATAAGAAAAACCGAGTGTCACTGGAACTTCCCCAAAGCCTATGATGTTGGAGGCTGAACTACATACTAACCTCTTTAGCCCCAAGTATTGGGACTGCTGGAGAGAGGTAAGGGAAGAGTCGGCCAGGAAGCTACAGGGTGTCATGTTTAATTATAAGAGAGGCTATGGGTAGATAACATCTCTGGCTGCCTTCAAATATTTAAAAAGCTATCGGGGGAAGAGAACCCAGACTGGTTTGTAGAGACTGGAGGGCAGAACTGAGGCCAGCCAGTGGGTAAATATTCCACTACAAGGTTTTAAGCTGTGAGAAAGGCAGTACTTTCTCACTGCCAGTCTCACCCAGGGGAAAGGTGCTGATTTCCTATCAGCGAAGGTGTCTGAACACAGATTGGATTGGGTGCTAGAAGCCAGTTAAGCATGGGCGGAGTGGTTGGCTCAGTAGGCCTATCACCTGGATTTTCCAAATTCAAAGGTTCTGTCCACGAGCTGGTTCAGAAAATAGGGTCATTCTACCTTAAGGGACTTTGCAAACCCAGGAGTCAGTGAAATATAGTGAGAGCTATGCCTGGATACCCAAAAAGATGCAGAAATCTGCTGGGGCCCACCATAATAGGGAAATGACCCATTGCCTCTGGGATGCAAATTCTCTCTATTCGCTGACTCTTGGTCTGTACAAAGGGCCGTGCTCCTGCCCTCTACGGGCACAGGCAATTCCTAAGTGCGGAGTGCGGGTGCATCTTAAGGGCCGCATCTTCTAGGACTTGAAAAGAAAAGATCGCTCTGGAGTTCAAAGTCGGTTCTTTCGATAATTCCAAAAAGATGGGCGAACGCGGCATGCTATGATAGGTCTAGGCTTCAGATGCCTGCAGCAGCTGGGGCCCGAACTTGGCCGCGGCCTCCCCGCCGGCTCCCGGGCAGAGGTGGGAGGGGCCGCCGCCCCGCACGAAGGTGCAGCAACCAGGGCCGCCGCCCGCCCTGCCCAGCCTGCGCCACCGCCGCCGCGCCCCGAGGCGCGCTCGGATTTCTCCAGCCATCTTGCCCCATTTCCCTTTCTCCGCGGCCCCGCGCCAGCAGCGCTCCCGCCGCCCCCTCCGCCCGGCCCGCCTCCCGGCCAGGCCCCCTCCCAACCCCAGCGCACCTGCCGGGCGGCGAGAGCCGGCGCCACCCGCCTCCCACGGCGGGCCCGCAACAAAGGCGGCGGCGGCAGCGCAGCCTTGGCGCCCCCGCCCCCGCCGCGGCCCAGCCGCCCGGGACCCGGGGAAGGGGCCGCGCCGCCGCCGCCCCCGCCCCTGCCCGCGCGCACTCACCGCCGGGCCCAGCGGCCGGGGCGCGGGGTGGGGACGCGAGGGCTCCGGCCCGGCTGTCACAGCGCCATCCTTTCCGCCTCTCCGGCCTCCCGTGCGCGCTGCCCCTCGGGAGGGAGCGGGGAGGACACGTGGTGGGAGGAGGGAGGGTCCGGCCCGGAGCTGAGGGTGTTGGGAGGCGAGGGGAGGAGCGCGGCTGATGTCAGCAGGCCTCGGTGGCGCCGGGGGACGGCGCCCGCGCGAGCTCCGGGGCCCTCCTCTCGGCGCGGCTTCCGGCCGGTCCGCGCACCGCCGGGGCAGTCCCTGGCGGGTCTGGGCGGTCGTGCCCTTGGCCTTCTCCTGCCCCGCCCGCTGCAGGCCGCTTCCAGTGCCGCGTGTGACCTCTGCGTGGACGAGGCAGGAAGAGCCCGGATTGATTTTAACGGAGCGTAGCGTGGTCGCACAGTTCCATGTGCTCATTTGCAGTCACCAGCGGGAGCACTTGCTTGGATGAGCTCTCTAGGCGCTCTCGCCGAGCTTCAGGGAGTGAGACTAGACCGGCATGGGGGTGTAGGAACAAGAGGAGTGGTTTTTGGGAAAGCATGTTCGTATTCTGGCAGCAGGCTCCTGTCCATAAATTCGTCATATAGGTGGAGAAGGAACTTCCTGATTTTTGTAGCTGTTGTCTGTTAAATCCCAAGCATGTAATCCCTTGAACAAAGTAAGTGTATAGAAGGATCTTTCTTCTCCAAAACGTTCAAAGGAGTTGTTTACTCTCAGCTTTGTGAACAATACAACAAAAGTGACCTGAGAAGCCCTGAAACCTTTTTCATTTCAGAAAAAGATTTTGGGCTTGGGTTTTCGTTGAGAACTTGTTAAAGAAAAAATTATTCTGACACTTGTTAAAACAGTAAGGAAGGCTTTATACAGTGTTACTGCTATCTATAGGTGTAAAGATGATCACACTAGGGAGAGAGATGAGGTCTAATCTGGAATACAGTAAGGACAGCTAGGGATGTACAGCCAAAGAGCAGAACGAAGGGGTCAGTAGATGGAAAGTTACTGAGACGAGACGCAAGCTCCTAGAGGGATTCTTGCTGAACCCACTTAACAGGATTCTTGCTGAAGGCTGACCAGGGCGATCAGATATCAAGGGTGAGGGAATAAGGAATTTGATCAGATACCAAGGGTGGTGATTTCTCCTTAACCTGACTTAGCAGGATTCTTGCTAAAATAGAGCTAGGCAGGCCAGAGGTGCAGGGGGAGGGGGGTGAGTGGTCAGGGGACCAGGGTGGAGGGCTGCTAAAGAAGACGGCTCACATCTGATTAAACTTTTGTCAAGGAGAGAGTCTGTCAGACTCTTCAGATTGTCCCTTAGACCTGAGTATCTGTTGGAAAAGATCTGTCTTTCCAAGTTTTCGTGGGCACTACTATTTATATATGACTTATTTCTCTGTCATGGGAGAGGCCACCGTGCGCTGCACTCTTAATACATAAAATGTAGCATGACATACACATCTCTGAAGTCCAATCACTGCTGACAACCCAAGACCATAGAAGATCTAATCAGTGGGTGGGAAAGACTGTTCAAATACTGGGAGGGAAGCTAGAATTTATTTTTTTTTGTTTTAATGAACAATTATTTTTGTGTATAAAGTATTTGTAGAACAGGAGTGACATCTTAGCTTGAATTGATTGGCATTACCCTCTTAATTTTTCTGAGGAAATGGCAGCTTCAAATAGAAAGGAGGGCATCAGGAAAGGAGAGGGGTACTAGGGGTGTTCGCTGGCACCTCAGCATCTTAGAAAAGAAATTAATATAGTTAGGAGATAGCCCCAAAACACCCCACGATGTTAGAGTTTTAGTCTCTGAGAGCCCTAATGTTCTCATGGGCTTTGATTAGGTGTCCCTGGAAAGAAACTAACAGTGACCACCTGAATTCTTGACTTCAAACCCACAGTCCCATGATCTCAATTACTGTCAGAGGATCCACCGTTCTATGGGTCTATAATTGCTAACTAGACTTACTCCAGGAGCAAGGTGCTGGTGTGGCACAATACACTGCAGACTCATGTTTAGTGGTTTTAGGTGGTTTTCTGAGTCATTGTGCTTCTCTCTACTGGTGTTTCTTCTGCAAAAAGAGCGCTGAAGCAGATATCATCCTAATGTTCCCTCAGCTCTATTATTGTTCCCATTCTCCATAAGACTGCATCTGAGTCTGAATGGAGAGTGATTGAAGCCAGTCTTTGAGACTCACAGTGCATTACTCTGGTAATTCCATAGGATGGACTTCTCTTAGTTGGTGGCTAATATCAACAGAACATCCATGTAATCAACATAGTAGTTCTTTAATGATGCTGTTGGTCTGACTTCATCCTTCCTCCTGTTGAATTATTACAGTACAAAAACCATAGGGATGCCAAGGAGCCTCAAATTCCAAATTTTACAAAATAATCATTTCTAACTATATTGCCCTCTAGTGAATACACATTTCTGATTGCCTTCAGCAGAGGCTCCACAGACGGGTCAGCATAGCTATTGGCTCACATACATCTATTCCTCAGGGACTGCTGTAGATTGAATTAATAGTCTTGGTACTTTGTGTCCCTGTGGTAGTGTTACATATCACACCTTTGCCGAGTTGTCATGTGCAGAATGTACTTCAATGCCCCTTCACTTGGCCTGCTTTTATGGTGAGCTTCAGCCAATGGAATTTGGGGGGAAGTGACTGTGTGTAAGTCCTGAGCAGACGTCTTAAGGACACAAAAGTTTTTCCTTGCACCTCTGGGAGCTTTTGATCTCTGCTATGACAAAAGCATGCTTAAGTAGTCACTGCTTCTCCAACTTGGGCATCACAATGAGGCATGTGTTCCAGAGCAATTCTTGCTAATATGAAGACCAGTGACAATTAGAAAAGATCATTATTTGAAGCTACTGAGTACAGGGGTGCCTTGTTATACAGCAATTTTGAGGTATAACTTATTGAGATAATGACAAGAGGCAACCTTGGCCTTAGGGCTCCCAACCTTGGCCCTCAAAGGGTTGCTCTGAAACAGGAGAAGGAGAATTAACCATTTTGTGGTAGATAGCCTCAGGTATATGAACCAAGAAATCCTAGTTGGGAAGGAAAGGAGGAGAGAACCAAATGGGGAACAAACCTCACTGCTGACTGTATCTTTCTCTTTCCTGGGATTCTGGCACTTCAGAGAAAGAGCAAGATATGAGCCCGAGCCCTAGAAATTACCCAAGAAGCAGCCAGGCATGCTGGCTTTTATCTGTAATCCCAGCTACTCAGGAGGCTGTAGGAGGATTGCTTGAGCCCAGGAGTTCAAAACCAGCCTGAGCAACATAGTGAGACCCCATCTTTTTTTAAAAAAATATTACCCAATAAAGCCAGAAGTTATTCCTGGGATATCTTGATAAAATGGTAAGGAAAATTCTGCTCTGGGTAGTTCATTGAAAGGTCCTAGAGGTTCCTGGAGAGGAGGTGTGCTGTTAAGAGCATCTCAGAGAGTTAAGGAAGAGTCAGTGGTTTCTCTAGAAGAGGAAAGGAAATTATAACACTTATTTTCATACTATTATAGCTACCGTGACAAAAAGACCCCAAATGCATAAAGGCAGAACTGTGATTTCCATTGATGTAATAGTCCAGAGTGGTTCTGTCCACAGGTGACTCCTGATGCCGTTATTTAGGATCCGTGTTAGGCACTCAGGAGGAAGAGGGGTGGGCTGAAAAGTGAGTCAGGGGCAAGAAGTGGGAGGGCAGTTGGCTCAGGGCAAGGCTGGGCAAAGTGAAGAAACCCTGGGCTGTTGAACTCCATTCTAGTGAGGCTCTACAAGTCTCGCCTTACAACCCAGGCCAACTCGCTTCCCCACCCCAGAGTCGTCATCTGTAAAATGAAGGCAAAGTTGACCTCCACGTTTCTATCAGCTGTGATGGCTGAATCCTTTTCTTGTTACTAACATTTGATGGTGATGAAATTCTTTTTCACTTAGAAATGTACCTGAGTCAGCTAATGGCATTCTTTTTAAAATCTAGTTTTGAGTTTATGGAGATAGATGCTATGAGGGCTGGTTTATTTGCATTTGATCCTTAGGCAAGCATATTATTGGTATTGTCGCTTTATCTATAAAGCTGACTTTAAAGAAGAGGGTAATTTTCCTTAAAGTCACAAGAGAAGTAACCCAAGAACTGAAGCCAGGACTTCTGGCAGGCAAATCCTGTGCCTGAGAGCTGCTGGGAGTACCTGGGTTTGGTGGCACAGAACTACTTGAGAACTGGGCCTCTAAAGAACATGGTTTTCGTTTATGAAAAATGCCTTTCAGCACAAAATGTCTTCAATATATTTATCAAAATAATAGGTTTTTCTACCACATCCTCTTCTCCTGCAGTAGGATATAAGATTTCTCATTTGGAGAAATAAGCTTTAAAAATTTTTTTTTTGTTCTCCTGCAGTGATAGGATGTTTAACAATATGATTATTTATATTTTATTAGACTGATGTGGCTTTGTAAGCACCTAGACAATTTCAAAGCACTTTTGCATGCATTATTCATCTGATTCTCTTCACTACTCTTTTAGAATGGTAAAATAGGAATGACTAGTTTCATTTTAGATGTAAGAATCTGTTTGTTAGAAAGAATTTGTTAGAAAGATTATGTGACCAATGCAAGGTTTCTCAGAATTGCTCAAGAACACCATTTAGACACTTGAGTTTCCTCATCTCAAAGCTGGAGATAATTCTAACCTTGAGGAATCATTGTGCTGATCAGATAGGGTCAGTAGGTCCCTAGTCTACAACTGGCACTCATAAATTAGTGAGCTTTAGGAGAAAAAAGTGTCCCACTTCTATGTGTAGTCCTTATCTTTACTGTCAGGGTGTTGGTGGTGGTGTCACCAAAACTTAAGGGAAAATTAAAAATAATGCATGAGATGGGGGGAAAGAGAAAGAAAGGAACAGGATAAGGAAAGGAGAAGAAACCTTAGCAGTAAACATTTCACATATGGTGGTTTTGGATGTTTCCAATGTTTGTGTAAAGTGCTGACTTCATCATTCTATAAGGGTTTTATGGAATAATATTTAAAAAGCACTTTGAGTGCCTTCGAAAATCGCGTTAGATAAATATAAAATACTGGGAGCATAAAAGTGGAAGACAACCTCAGATATATAGTCTATGTGTGAAAAGAAATAAAATTGCTTTATTCATCAAAAAATCATCACTGTAAAGTAAAGAAAGCAGAGTTTTCTTTTTTTTCTCCCCCTTGGCAGGGTAACCAGTCTGGTTTTCATTAGGATTAATGTGGTAAAAACATATTTATCACTAATAAAAGAGACTGTAGAAATACTGCTGATCTTCTTCAGCATGAGGATGAAACACTGCTAACTTAATCCCAGCAAAAACTATCTGTCGTTGCCTATTTGGTAAAAACAAGGATATCACTGTTTAAAGATTGTACAGAACTGGAAAATAAGCATGAGCCAGAATTTCTGTCCATCTCTGTATCTTCATCATCTCCTCCTGTTGCTAGTTCTTCACAACATGCCCTGAACCTAGTTGATGCTTTGGGAATCCTACAAGGAACCAGGAACTTTATTGTTCATACTTAACAGCTTAAAGTAAGGCGGTGTTGGTCGGCTACAAGCTTGGTAGACAGAGGCAGGCCTGGGTGTGTTAAAGGCAGGAGAGATTACTTATAAAATAGAACAAAGGACAGGGGGGTGAAACTCTTTGAAGAGAAGCTGTTTGTTCCCAACATTAGTCTGTGAACTGGTAGAAGACCTGACGAAGGGAAACTTCAACTCTTCCATAAACTTCAGTGTGTATTCCTCTTTTTAGAAAAGACTTTGAAAACTAACACTTTACAATCTTTGGTGGTGTGGCTATGCGTTTTTCCTGCTACGTAACCAACAGGCCTCACAAGATCAAGTACTTTGTCCTTTACCTAATTCCCCAGCGGTGCCTGGTGTTCCTGGGCTCTCTCACGTTCTTGATTTTCTAAACTTTGCCATTCTTCAGTCTTCAATCCTTAATTAGCATAGCAATTTTCCAAGCTGGGGATCCTAAATCTTAAATTTTGCAAAGGGCTGGGATCAGCTTCCCTCACTTTTACTTCTCAATTCATTTTCTAGTATCCTCATCCAATTTCTGACTTAAGCAATTTACTTCTATATGAATGAACCCTAAATAAATATCTCTAAACAAACTGTTTAAATTAATTCTTGTGCATTTCCTTTGTCCAGTCAGTGATCATTGCTTAAATATGGAAAAAGAAAAAAAGTTGATTATTTCTTTTATCCTTAGATTGAAATGTAAGCAAATCTTTGTCGATGTTAGTATTGGACTTTTAAGTAATTTCCTGCCTTCCTTTACACTAGGTATTAATGTGTTGGACTCTCAGTTTTCTCGGCTCTAAAATATGGGGGGGTTGACATAAGTAATTTCTTCAGTAATACCAAGTTTTAAGATGTTACAATATTTTACTGATTACAGGTATTTAACCTCATTTGTCTCAAAGAACTATCAGCCTTTCTTTAATATAAAATTTTATTGGTTCTATTATTTTTCAGACATGTTTTGCTTTTTACATTGGATATTTTTAGTGATAAAATATCTTACACATGCAAAAAAGTAAAGAGAATCATAAAACAGACACTTGTATCATGTATGATCATGCACCTGGCACACAGTAGGTGAAAAATAAGTACTCTTGACATGAAATAATGATCTGGACCATCGTCAGAGAGGACTACAGTTGCTGTAAAATAGCTGTGATTTTCCCAGAATGGCCAGCAGACAGCGCACTTTCACACTGACGAAACACCCTTGGTTTAGGTAAATTACCTTGGTGTCTTAGCTCCCCACTCAGTGTACAAGTCAATTTTATATGTATATATATATATATATATATATATGTATATATATATATATATATGCCCTCACACACGCATATCCATTCTTTATGCCCAGAGGAAGCCAGTTTCTTGATCTTTTTTGAAATTAAATATGCACATATAACCCTAGATATATAGGTTTTTAAAACCATAAATGGGATCACAAATACATGCAGTCCTATAACAATTTTTTTCCACTAATATATTCTGATATTTTCATTTAAAATTGTGTTTTATTCTTCTTAATAACCACATAATTGTCTATAATATATCTGTGTTAACTAGCAGAGATCTTGGCAGAGAGCAAAAGGCCTGAATATTTCTGGTCTGATTACTAGGAATCCATTTTGCCCAGCCAACACACTTAATCCTTTTTGTCTCTTGTGTGTAGATATGCGTTTTCAGTGGGAAGCCATAAAAAGAACCCCTGAATCTTGGTTATCCTATACTTTGTGCCTCTGCACATGCAGGAGGAGGATTACCACAACAAGAAGATGCAGCTGTAAGAAAATAGGCTTGCTTCACAGTGTGGCTGAGCACCACAGCCATATCAGAGCCACAACTTCCAATGACAATCATGAGGATTCTCTTTCCCATAAATCCCTCTAAATGTTATATTTCTTACTGTCGAAATGTTTGCCTTTCAATTTCTCAATCTCTATTTAGGGAAAATAAATGGAAAATGGAAAGTAATGGCTTAAATTCAGGAAATGCAAAGCTTACTTTAGCTTTTGCATTGCATTTGTGCAGTCAAATAGTAAACCCAGTTATATATAGTACCATGTTCAGCTTCTTTTACACTGGTCCTTCTGTGTCAGGGATCCACAATCCCCGGGCCATGGACTAATACTGGTCTGTGGTGTGTTACGAGCGAGCAAAGCTTCTTCTGTATTTACAGCCACTCCCCATTGCTCGCATTACTCCCTGAGCTTTGCCTCCTGTCAGATCAGTGGTAGCATTAGATCCTCATTGGAGTGCAAATGCTATTGTAAACTCTGCATGTGAAGGATCTAAGTTGCATGCTCCTTATGAGAATCTAATGCTTAACAATCTGTTACTATCTCCTATCCCCTGAGATGGGACCATCTAGTTGCAGGAAAACAAGCTCAGGGCTGCCCCTGATTCTACTTGATAGTGAACTGTATAATTATTTCATTATATATTACAACAGGCGTCCCCAGACTACGGCCCGCAGGCTGCATGCGGCCTCCTGAGGCCATTTATCCGGCCCCCCGCCACACTTCAGGAAGGGGCACCTCTTTCACTGGTGGTCAGTGAGAGAAGCACAGTATGTGGCGGCCCTCCAACAGTCTGAGGGACAGTGAACTAGCCCCCTGTGTAAAAAGTTTGGGGACGCCTGTATTACAATGTAATAATAATAGAAATAAAGTGTACAACAAATGTAATGTGTTTGAATCTTCTCCAAATCATCCCCACCCCACCCCAGTCTGTGGAAAAATTGTCTTCCATGGAACTTGTCCATGGAGCCAGAAAGGTTAGAGATCACTGCTCTATGTTACACCAATGTTAACTGCTACTAACAGAAATCTTATTTATTACAGTAAACACATTAAGTTATTTTAAATACATTTTCACAGAGCAAGTTCATTTTGGTAATACCAAAATCCATACAGCATATTACATTTTTTCTATGATTATCATCATGGACTCTCAAAATTGGAAAATGAGTCCATCTGGTCCAATATATATTAGCAGAGCCTTGCTATGCAAAATGTAATTCACAGACCAGCAGTAGCAGCAGCAGCAGCAGCAGCAGCAACAGGGAACTTAGGCAAAGGCAAATTAAATTCAAAGTACCCACTCCACACATGCTGAATTGGAATTTCATGGCGTTAGAACTAACAATCTGATTTAACAAAGTCTTTGGGTGATTCTTGCCATACTAAAGGTTGAGAACCATTGATTTATAAACTTGTCATGAAAGATCATTAGTTTCTGCTTAAATACCTCCTTAATTAGGAAACCTACTACTTCACAAGGCAGACTGTTTCATTTTAGGACATCACTTCTTTTGGAAAATCCCTTCTTATTTAGTGCCAAGTCTACTTTTCGGAGCCTCTGTCTACTACTTGTTTTGCTAAACAAGAACACACACAGTGTTGACTCCATCTTTTATATGACGGTGAGTTATGGTCAAAGACAGCTATCTTGTTCCTCTTCCTCCCTCCACAAGTGTCCTCCTCCCCCAAGATTGTCCTTCTCCAGGATAAATAACTTTTGGTGGCTTTTAAACATTCAACCAAGCTGCATTTATCTGATTAATATTCTTATAGTTCTCTTTTAATGATGTTCCTTTTTGTCATCATTCCTTTGAAGTGAAACACTTCAAAAAGCACAATAAAAAAATAATTTAAAAATAAATTTAAAACGAGAACAGAACATAATCCTTTTTAAGTGTGGTCTGACAATACTTAGAGGGTAAAACAGATAGATTTTTCTGTTGAAACGTAAGTGCTATTGGTTTGGGCTTAGACATTCTGATTATAACAGACTTTTTGTTTTATAAAACTGAAATCTCTACAAAAGTCAGATTTTCTTCTAAAAGGATTTATTTGTTTGGGTTAGTGACTTGTTTGACATTGTCAAAATAATTTTAAATTCGCTTTACTTAACCACAGACCATTATAAATGAGAGGCATTTTCTTTGCTTTGCATAAATCATCCCTCCCACCATTAGGATTCTCCAAGATAGCAAAGTTACATACCTGAGGAAAACTGCAATAGTAAATGAGGGTCAGTGTGATGGCCACTGCAGCCCATGACAATGCCAAAGACGGATGACCTTTGCTTCCCCTCAGCCTCACCACAGTGTTACGCTGGCCAGTGCAAGGGAAATCAGGATGCTTCCTCATACTGCACACCTTTATCTGAAAACAAAAAACCAAATATGGGTGTTACATTTCAGCTCCTTCCACCTCCTTCTGAAACCAGAGAACTGGATTGGGACCAACAGAGATCATTCTGTTTACTTAACAGATTTCAGAAAACGTGAATTCTGAATAATCATTTTTTTTTTTTTTTAGATCTTACTATGTGCAATAATCTTTGGTGAGATTTACAATCTCATTTAAAGTTCTTTCATGATTTTCATGAAAATTGAGTGATATGTAATAGATAATTAATTTTTTTCCTTTGTAGCTGATTCCTGACTTTTCTCCCTTGGTAATATAGCTTATGAAGCAGATATATATTGCAATACACCCTTGATTTTAAGTCTTTCCAATAGAAGACCATAGGAATAAACTGACATATGAGAGATGGATAAATGTATGGACACATATATGTTCAACAGTTGTTGTTCTAGCGATTATGCCACAGAATCATTAAATGCTGTCTAACACTAAATTAGATTTTCCTGTTGTGGGAAGTAATCAAGCAGGGACTAGATATCCATCTATCAGAAAAAGTGAATTGCTAGAGAGATATGGTATACCCTTTCCAAATTTAAGGTTCCATGAGTGTAGAGAAATGAGGATAATGGTTGTTAATGGTTAGCGTTTACCTTAGCATAGCTACCAATGTAAGTATTCTATATGCCTTAACTCATTTAATCCGGAAAGAGATGCCTCTGAAAAGGGAATTCTAACAATAGTCTGACTTTCTGCAAGGAAAATGCCAAGTGAGAAAGTGGTATTGTTGATATACACACATATTCACAAAAGCTTTTGTAAATAAACACACTATTGCCTCCAAATCAGTGAGCAGTATTTCTAAACCAGATTCAATCCCCCAAAATTGCATGAAAAATAGTGTATTTATGTGCCCATTTATGGAGAAAGGTGACAGCTGCCCTCATCTCCTTTGCCCTCAAAGGTCAAAACAATAATAATTGTAAAAAAAACTTTAAAGCTTACCCAGAAACAGATATATTTTACAAGGTTAATGTATCATATATTTCTTTTTAAAAGGTTTTCTAGTTGTTTTATTTTGTATTCAAACATCTTATATAAAATGATATCTGTATTCGTTTACTAAAGGGCAGATAGCTTACAAAAAATATCTGTTGAGCTTCCAGTATGCATCTAGTATTATGCTAAGTGTTCTACTTGTTTCTGGACATATTTTGAAACAATATAGCATAGTAATTATGTCTGTAGGTTTAGAGTCAAACTGGAGCCACTGAATTGCTGTATGACCTTGCCCAAACTACTTAAGCTTTATGCATCTGTTTTTCTATCTGCAAAATGGGGCTAGTACCTTTGTCAAATTTACTGTGAGAATTAAATGAAAATATGAAAATGCCTTAGGATTGTTTCTGGCACCTAAAAGTATTCAGTATTTAATATCATTTATTATTTTATTCTCACAATCCCCACTTTAAACAGGGTCTGTCTGGCTCCAAAGTCCCTGCTAATTCCTCTAATTCCTCACTGTTGCAGTATATTTAAAAATTAAAAATCTACTTTGTTAACAAAATTTAGATTGGCAGACATTCATTAGTTCCTTGAACATATGGAGAAAATACATCACCAGTTAATGTGGAAGAAATCACCTTCGGGTTGGGAATAAGGAGATCTGTGTTACTCGGTGATTATTCTGGGCATGAAGAAGTTCCTTGTTAATTGGAGAATCTACAGGAGCTAGGTTCTTCAGAGTCTAATATTCCATGAGTCTAGGGGTAATATTGTCTATAGATACAGATTTTGTTCCTAAAGGTGGTTTTTTTTTTTCTTTATCTGCATTTAATCTAAAGCTGTCTTCAAAGGAAGGAAAATTGAAGGTATGCGTACAGCATGCCAAGCAACCCTATCTGTGAAAGCTGGGTTTACACACGCATAGAACCCAGTTTGGAAGTTTCCACTGCCAAATGTCTCTCCAAGCTGATTTGTGGTAGCGTCAGGCCTATCGCTATGTCTCCTAATGTAACCCATTCTCTTAGACATTTAAACCACTTACACCTTATACTTCTAGTACTATTTGCAAACCCATCTTTTAGCTTTATTACCTACCTCCCCTCCAGCCCTACATTTCAAAGGTCCACCAGATATAGGTGGTTGTTTTGCGTCAAACTAGCAGTTTCAAGACATGAAAACTACATCAAACGAGAAAAAGAACCATTACAACGTATCTATATTTTCCCCTAAGTACGGAATTTCACACTATAGCCCTTGTCTTCAAACACCTAAACAAATCACTCAGGATCTTTATTATTCCATGCCCACGCACACCCCAAAAATAGCTCTCCCTCTTCACCCCCGCTGCTCCAAATGCCTATCACTCCAAGTACTTTGACTCGCCCAGAGCCTCATTCAAACTTGAGCCCCACCCTCCCCTCCCCGCCTCGCCTGAAGCTGATCCCTGATTGGTCGAGGCCCCAGGCCACAGCGCGCTATGCGTGCTGGGAAACGAGTGAAGGCGCGAGGACAAGCGCCAGGGGTTCGAGGTGCGTTCCCCCTGACCCGGACCCGCTCTGACTGGTTCCCGAAACGGTTGCCGCGGTTTGTGGGCGATGGGCCTCAGGATTTAGGACCAGCCCATTTGGAGACCTGACGAGGTGAGGAGGAGAGAGGAGAAACCGGGTGACTACGAAAGGGCTGCAGACCTTACCGGGCTCACTCTCTCGCTGAACACACAGTGGGGGCTGGAGACGGTGTCTCTGGTTTTCACCTCTAGTTCTCTCGTAGCCCCGTCGAGCAGTGGGAGGGCAAGTGTCCAAGTCGTGGCCTCCTGCCCGGGCAGCAGCCACCGGACGGCGTCTTCGTCGTCACCCAGGGGCCGCGTGGTAAGGGCCCAGCCGCCAGTCTCGTCATGGCGTCTGGCACCTTCTTCCGCCCGCCCCGTGGCGCCTGCGCTCGCCGCCTTACTCCCCCCCTCCCCTGCCGCCTTCCGGCCGCCTCCCACCTGTGCTGCCCTCTGTGTTTTCCTGACGCGGTCCCGGCCCATGGCCGATGTCCGCTGCACGCCCCGCACGCTGTGCCCGCGCGGTCCCCTGGAGGCTTGAGACGCAGTCTGGGGCGACCCGACAGCCGGATGAGATTCGGCAGTCTTGTCGTTTCAAAATTGAATTCACACGGGGTGAGCTTTAACAGGCTCCTCGTGGTTTTCGTGGAGTTCTAGCCGGGGCTGAGCCTCGAACTTGCCTTGCCTCCTTTCTGTCTCTTCCCCGAGTGCCTCCTGCGTGCTGGGCTGTGGGCAGTCATGTATCATATATTTATTTTAAATGTTCTCACCACAAAGAAAATGATAAATATTTGATCTCTCTGTCAAACCATCGAATAAGCACTGGCTTCTGAAATAAAATTTAAAAAAGGAAAATGATAACTATTTGAGGTGATAGATATGATAACTAGCCTGATTTGGTCATTCCGCAATATATGCATGTATGGAAACATGACATTGTGACCCAACAATGTATAGAGTATGTAGGGCTGAAGGCCCCACAGGGTCGTGGGGTGTGCCTTATGCTGTGCTGAGGCGCAGGATCCGAGAAATAAAGAGACAGGACGCAGAAGTACAAGGAAATGCAGCTGGGCTCGAGGGGCCACACCACTTATGAGTGGACTCAGGCGAGGCCCGAATGTCCAGAAGCATGAATATTTATTGCGTATAGGTTAGGGGCAGGGCAGTGAGTGAAATCATCTTAAGGATAGTGATAGGGTCGTGAGCAATAAAACAAGGGGTCCACCCCCATTAGGTCACCTAGGCTAGGAGGTGGACAGTGCACAGCAAGGGGCCCATTCCCATGAAGGCAAGGGCCATGTGCAGTAAGGAGTCCACCCCCATTAGGTCACTGAGGCTTGAAGGTGGGTCGTGCCCAGTGAAGAGGGTGCAGTGTGCAATACTTCTATCTATGGGCAAACTACTACTGAGTTTGGGGGGATGCTTTAAGTCACATAGTGACAGAGCTGTCAGGGTTACCGCCACCTGCTGGCAGCTTCCAATGAGTTTTATGGGAAGATGCTTTTTGAACAGCACAGTAGCAAGAGCTGATAAAGTTCACATTCAACCAAGGTGGATTGCCAGTCTGAGGGCAGCCTTCCACAAGAACTGGAGCAAGGTCCTACAACTCCTTTATCAGGAGGAGTGGCTCTTGCCCCAAGCCTGCCATACAGAGGGTATCTTTACGATACTGAACACTGTCGCCTGGGCCATGGATTCTTGTCCTGGTATAACTGTTTTTCCCTTAAATCATGCTCTGTACCGTGTCTGCTCTAGGCATTCCTCCAATTATAAACTGCTTATTTCTTAATTCATACTCTGTGCTGTGTCTACTCTAGGCACTCCTCTGATTATAAACTAAGATAAAATTATATATATGTAGGGAAATATTCTTTAGGCACTGATACTATCAACTATTATGTGATTATATAGAGAGGATTATATAACGGGATTCTTCAAGCCCTAATTCTATAAACTAATATGATAATATAAAGGATTGTATAAGAGGAAACAGCTGAGTAGTAACACTATAAACTGAGATATTCTTCAAGCCCTAACTATGCCAGGGTTCTGCTTAGGTCTCTTTCCTTGGTGCCTGTATGGGGGGTTACCCACAGAATAATTGTTTATCAATTCAAAATAAAATGTATAAGTATGAGAAGTTACTGAAGCAAGTCATTTACTTGGAAGTGTTGATGGTCAAAGATAGATGCAGGGCTTTCCTTCTTCTGACTGCTCCTTTAGAAAGCAAAGGAAAACATTCTCATCGATTTCCTCGTGAATAATGTAAAGAAGATTGTGTTTTAAGAGGCACGTGCAGGTCTACTCTGCTGCTAGACTTCTTTGATACCTGGAAGACAGAGCACTGACTGCACTGAAACATTCTGTAAGAGGATGCCCTTTGTTGCATACTTTCCCTGATCTGTGTCCCATTCTTTTTTTTTTTTTTTTTTTCAAAATTTCTGTAGCAGACTATGACAGGCTGAAGGGGGACAGATGACATTCCCTTGGGTCCATCGCTCATTACAGACTCACTAGGGGCACTGGGCTAGATCAGCACAGTCCCAGACCCTCTTACTCTAGGACCTAGCTGAGATTATCTAGCAGGAACTTCAGTGGAGACAACCATGAGTCAAAAATTCTCTTTATGACTTACTGTTAAACTTCCCAATTTCTTTCACTCTTAGCACTTTGCCTTCTAACTCCTACATCTCAAGCCTTCATTTAGTTGCCCACTAGGAAGGTTGGACCAAAGTGTTTTCTTAGATTTCCAAACAAAAAGCCCTTTGCAGTCAAGTGGGGAGGAAAAGAAATACATTTAGAAGGGAATTAAATCAATGCCAGCCTAGGAGGGTGA